CCCTTTAATCTATACAGATTACATCAAGATCAGATCGCTACAATGCCCTTTAATCTAACAAAGAAAAAGCCCTAGAATAACTCCATATGAAGAACCAAAAACAAAATTGAATTTAAAATCTGTTTTCAACTTGAACCCTAAAATAGAAGAAACCCCAATGTACAAACAAGCAGGGGCGGACCTACAGTGGTTCAAGTGGGTTCATATGAACCCACTTGAACCACTGTAGGTCCGCCCCTGCTTGTTTGTACATTGGGGTTTCTTCTATTTTAGGGTTCAAGTTGAAAACAGATTTTAAATTCAATTTTGTTTTTGGTTCTTCATATGGAGTTATTCTAGGGCTTTTTCTTTGTTAGATTAAAGGGCATTGTAGCGATCTGATCTTGATGTAATCTGTATAGATTAAAGGGAATTGACAACTTGTCTTCCCTATTTTACTAATGCTTTTTCGAGATACATGCATAATCTGTATAAATTCAAAGTTCAGAATTGTGATTGGAAGCTTCTTCATCTTCTTGGCTTCACTCTACCAAGTTAATGCATTTTTTTCTCTTCCTTGTTTTTTATTAATGTTTTATTGGTTAGATCTTCCCGAAATTTACTTGATTCTTGGAATGGATGTTCTAGATTTAAGTGATTCTTCCAATTTTAGCTAGACAATCTGACAAATTAAACAGTCATCCAACACTCATTCTTTTTCCCTTGCCTCCCCTGTTGTTAGCTCTAATTTGTTGACACTTTTTTGGTGAGATTTTCCGAGAATAAACAGTTAGCAAACCCAAGATGTTAGCAATTTTTACTGGAGCAAAACATTAGCTCGAACTTTGGTACCTTTTATCCACAACCAAATTGACTATCTTAATTACTTCTCTCTGAAACCCAAGTTATGGTTGTTATTTCCCTTATACATATTGAATTACCCTCATCGGTAAATTGAACTAAATTCCACTCATTTCACCTATAACGTAGAGGGTAAAGTGTATGTAAGCCTTAGTCACTGAATTCCAAAGCATGATTACAATCCATATGAATTTCAAGAGCAAAGCAGACAAAGTAATGGTGTTATTAAGTAGGGCAGTAGTTTCAAAACTTTCCCTGGAAGACCCAACTCCATTTTCCTGCTTCATGTTTTCTTCATCTCGAGTCTATCTCTATGAATTAATTTTGGCCAAGATCTTAATTTTGGTGTTGTTGTTCGTCTCCTGTCTTCACAAAACAAGAAATGGATTTGACTGTCAGAACTTGACTATGTGTACTGCTTTCAGTTGAATCTATAATATAGGTTAAGATTAAATATTTTCCTGATTGTGTTTGAATGTAAATCGACAGCGATTTGTACATACTGTAAGTGAGGATTTTACTGACTCTTTCATGTTGTTGCAGCCTTGAGTTGCTGAGCTGGGGGTTCTAACACTTCTACACACAATTTGTTTTAGCAATGAATCCTGAACAAACAAGAAAACATCCTTGCACAATAAAAGAGGCTTATGAAAAAAAAAAATGTCAAGCAATGTGAAATATAGCATGATATGCCGTTAGCTGAAAAGAATGTTCTTCTGTTGCAACGGCGCCTTAAAGATAGAGCGGCAATGACTAGGCGTCTTCTTGCAAATACAAATTCGGCCAACCCAATTGAATCACTATGTCTTACTAAGGATAATCTTAATGTCGAATGACCTTCCTCTATTTCACAAGGTTAGAACATCAAACTAATTACCTACATTTTCCCTTACGTATGTATTTATTTCGGTGTGACTGAATGTGCTTGGCAGTTAGAATTTGACTGTGTGTTGCTTCCAATTCAAGCTATAATAGAATTCCTTTTCCAGATCTCTTTAAGACCTTGTTCCTTTTGAATATCTCATAGGGTAAACTGTTTGAACTTTGCAGATACAAACACTGGGGACAAGCATCTCCATGGTTAGGTAGGATCAATCCTCTAGACCAAGAAATGCCAATAAATGGGGATGATAAATTTTTCCCTACATCTGGCAATGACTTGGTATGTTTGATGTTGTCCATCATAATGATATGAGAAATTTAAATTTGCGCCCTCTTACACTCAACTGTTTTTCTAGAAACCAGAAGTAGTCAATTCCAGTCGGAAGTATCGTGTTCTTGCCTAGTTCGTGCTCCATCAAATTCTGCACTCGACGAGATTGTGTTGCACATTCTAAACACTGGTACGCTCTTTTTTATGTACAGATTTCTTCTCACACAAGTTGTGGTGGTGTTGCGATGATGAATATCATTACCTGATTGTTGAATTTACAAAATTATAGGACACTTCTCTGCTCCTTTTGTGCTTTTACAACATGAAATTTCTATTATTCTGAAAATTGCCTGAAGAAGATCTGTTCACTGATCTTATATTAGTCACTTTGAAGCTTTTAGTATTTGTTGCACTTGTGAATGAAATAGATATAACGTACAACAATGTGATACCAAGTCAATGAATGCTATGAGAAATGTTGGTATACTTAAATTTGCTTAACCAGCCTTACATTAGGGGTAAGGGAATGCAGTTATCAGTAAAACTGTAAGAATTCTTTACCACTCACTCGGTGCTTCTGTCCCCCTTGATGAACTATTAGTAGTTCTCAGTCATGTCAAAATTAGCATACATTTTTCTCGTTCAACATTTTTCTGTGCAGGCATTTGTGTTGATACAGGTTTGACTTATCCATTTATTGTGTAGGTTGTATAAACAAAATAGGCCTTTTCTTAATGCTCTTTCAAGTGTACTATTTTGTGATTTATGTACGTATCTCGAAAAGCCACGACGAGTGGAGCTGCTCAGTGCTCAATTGTTTGTTTTTATTTATTCCATGAAAAATACTTTAATGTATCAATATTACCACAAAAAGAGATTAGTGTATAAAATTAAAATAGGCAGTGGTTGATATTCAAGTTAATCTAGTCTCATTGATGCTTCTTAACCAGAAAGTTGGAACTTTAATAGAATTAAGTATTTAACAAAGTCCATTACTTTAGGGTCCACCAGGGACTGGAAAAACACAAACCATACTTGGGATTCTCAGTGCCATTTTGCATGCAACTCCTGCTAGATTACACTCCAACAGGTATGCCGCTTAATTTTTGGAATTTTCATGGTCAAACAGAAAAAATAAAATAACGAAAAGTTAACTGAGTTGTATTAACTGTTTAGTTAGCAATGTGTGAATGAGGTCGTTTTCCTCTTCATGTTGAAGTCTTCATTCGTCCTGAAATCTGTTTGTTTTTGTTTACCACTACAATCTTTATTATCCCTTTTTCAAGAAAAAATCAAACAGTTACTTTATTTTTCCCCCACCTGTACTCATTATTATTTAATTTTTCTCCGCTTTAGATGGATTACTCTCTCTGCAACTTCTCTAAAAGGACAACTCAAATTCTTAACTTACATGCATATTAACGTTTTTCTTGAAAAAGGCACATCAAATAGAAGTGATGCATGTTAGGCTTCCTCTTGGCCGTCAACTTTCAACAAGAGCACACTTTCAACCTCAAATGATCTGCAGCTCCTCTGCAGAAATTGAACATGATATGGCTTCATTCCTAAGAGGTAATTCTGGCATTATTTTTCTTAAAATGCAATGTGTCTTGAATACACTGTGTGTGCATGTATTCCTACACATAGTATTGAAGAAATCATCGCTTCTCTGTCAAAATAATAATAGTGTTTCCTAGCCAAATCCAAATGTGAGGTAATATATAGTTCAATACAAAGGATTCGAACTAGGAGAATAATAGTAGCAATCAGCCAATCACGGAACGCCATGGTAAGCCTACAAATTTGACATCCAAGCATTTTGTTGAGTAGTAGCCTCACAAGTTTTCACTTATGCAGAAACCATTTGATTACTGTAGGTAAAGAAAGTATTTGAAGGAACTTAATTTTATTTGAATACAATTTGATACCTATAAGATAATTTGCAAATCGAAGTTATTGGACTTTACTTTATCCATTGTACTATATCTTAGAATATAATTTGAGTTTGGTTTGTGTTCTGGCATTAGCTAGCGAATCCAAGTTTGCTTATTTACAAGTTCAGAAATTGTCTTGAGAAGATATATGATTAAATTTTTGTTGGAGACAGGGAATTTCAGTTTGAATTTCAGGGATATATGATTACAATTCGAGGGACGACCCATGCACTTACAGAAATACCGTTGGATATCTAGAAGACCCACTGTTCAAATAACTGAAGACCCCATCAATTCTACAGGCTTTATTCTAGATTTACTCAAAAATGTTAGGAGCAATGTTGAGGTAATATCTAATTTTGTTATACACACAACTTCTTGGATTGTTCTGCCTGTACTCAAGCTGAGTTTGTTATCCCTTTAAACTTATTTAAGATTGAAGGCTTGGACAAGCACAAAAGTAGAGGTGCCACATGTACCAAGCACATGGAAGAAAATATCCACTGTTTGACGAACTGTTGTCTTTTCTTAATTGCTTAAAGAAATATAGATTATCAGTTTCACAACCTCTTCCTCTTCCATCACCTCAGAATGTCGCTGCTACAAGTTGTATCATTCCCAATACCTCTGCGCCATTGGCACTACTTTAAGATGAAATTTCTACTACATGCTACCATTCTCTTCAGAACGTTGTATATCACAACACCTTTGGGGCTGACCTCTGCTGCAAAGAATTAATGTTCAATTACATTATTAGCATGTTTTGATTTCACTTAAATGATTACCTTGACTAGTACTGCAGGCTGACAAACTTAACATCTATTATATTCAGATGGAAATGTGGATGAGTAGCAAAAAAACAACTATCATATGTCATAACAGTCAAATTGTATGATTATCAACAACAAACGAGCTTCTTCTTGGTTGTCATTGGGCCCGTGCTTACAACTGAAAAGAGGCCCAAACCAGCGAAATCTTTTCAAAAGAAACTGAAAAGGGTAATAAAACTGGCCCAATATTTCTGGGCAGCAGCAGCAGCCCGAATGGCCCACCAAACTCATTCTCTCTCTCTCTCTCTTGATTATTAGATTGTATTTAGTTATTTTTGTTTTGATTAATTCTAACTTTGAATACTTAAATTAACTTAATTAAATGAAAAAACTATATAGGTTTCAGGTGAAGCTTTACAATTAAAAAAACTAATACTTCGAAGAGTTACACGAAGTACAAAGAGAAGGAGGACTACTCTTGTTGATTTTTTTAATACTTGTATTTTTTTCTTTTGAATAGGAGGAACAAGAAGAAACATTAAAAGAGAATATGTTACTCTTGTTTAATTTTTTGAGTACTTGTATTTTATTCTTTGTAATAGGAGAAACAAGAAGAATCTTGTTTCATTTTTTGACTACCTGCATTTTATTCTTTTAAATAGGAGAAACAAGAAGAAATAGTAGAACATATTACTCTTGTTTGACTTTTTGAATACTTGTATTTTCTTCTTCTTTTTTTTAATAGGAGAAACAAGAAAAATCTTTTTTAATTTTTTGAATATTTGTATTTTATTCTTTTTAATAAGAGAAACAAGAAGAATCTTGCTTGATTTTTTTAATACTGGGGGGGAGGGGTTGTAGTGTAGAAGGGGAGTGTAGAGAGAGGTATGGAGGAGGGGGGGCGGGTGTAGAGAGGGGTAGGGATGTAGGGTGGGTGTAGAGAGGGGTATATAGGGTGGGTTTAGGGGTATGAGG